GAAAGCCTGAGAGAATGTTTTCTCTCCATGTGACTCTCCTTAGGCACACTCTACATCATCGATCACTTTCCTCTTTGGCCCCATAATCTTCTTGATTAGAAAATTTGGGACACTACTGAGTTACATGACATTACAGTACAAGTTCTCATATCGCATCAACTTCTTATTGAGTGTCTATTATATATCAAGTGAGATGCAAAGAAAATTTAACAGAATGACTGCACTCAACTCACAGCAATGTGCTCTTAGCAAGAATAGAGAAAGAAACAGAGATTGGTAATCCTCTACAGTAAGAGTTCTGATACCTTTACTGGTGTGCTTTACTCACTTTGAGAGAAAGGGAGGGAAAGTACTGCAGAAGGATGGCTGAGGAGGTGCTGAGTGACCAGACTTGTAAGATGAGAAGAGGCTTGTCAACAAGAAAGGGTCAGAAGGAATTCAAGATGGGACTAGCATGCCTGGAAGAGTGAGCATGCAGAGATGAGACAATCAAGGGTCTTAATTTACTTCCAGGAGTTGGGGTTTTGCCTTGGAGAATCCTCATTAGTTACACAGGACATAAAGCAAGGAAGTGATGGAATCAAATGAATGCTTTAAATAAATGAGCAAGCAAAAGACAGACTAGACAAGGGAAGAACAGGAGGCCTATTTGGAAACCGTTGACATAATCTGGGCAAGTAGTGATGAAATATGGTAATGAGATAGAGGGGATGGGAAATCCTCAAAATAAAATTGGCAGGACTCGTGCTTGTTTGAAGGCCAGGGTTGAGAAGGAGGAAAGCAAAAAAGTTCCTCTGACATTTCTGGTTCTTAACAGTTGTTTACAATCCTTCCTTCCTCTGGGCCATAACAGAACTTAGTTTTATCTTTATGTCAATATTACTTCTTGAGTTCCTTCTGTTCTGTTTTAAATTTTGATTGCTTTTGTAGGTTTTCTTCCTTGAAGCCAAGCCCATATATCACTCAACATGAATTGTACAAGTCCTAAATAAGTAATTGTTGAACAAAAGCAGTATATAATGGGTTGTTTTAACATGACTTCTCATTTAAATATGGTTAGCTTTGACTTCAAGTTTTTTTTTCTAGAGAGAGAAAAACCTAAATCTATAGAGACTTAATGGCTTATGAAATCTTAGCTATTCATAGATCAATAATTAACAGCATATTCCTTTCCAAGAGCTCTTTTGTGTTTCCAAGGGAAACAGTGAAGATTGGGGTTTCTATAGTTACAGAGTGAAGTTTCAGAATACATTTATTTCAGTGTGAGAGTAGAATATTTGAGTGGAAACAGCTGAAAAAATTTCTTCACATCTAACCGCAGATATTAAAGCAATACATCTCATGAAAGAGTTTCTTTTCGCCTCTGACATATGCCCAGGAGGAGAGCAGGAAAGACTATGGATGAGATGAACTGCCAAGCGGAAAGATGCTTACTGAGAAAAGCCTGCTCTCAGCTTCACTGGCTTGTCTCAGTTTTAATCTGAGCCCAAGTATAATTCATATTCATCATCTCTTTGAAGTCTTCTAAAGCTGGTGTTAGGGTCCCAACTGTATTCTGGCTTCTCTGAATTAATTAGGATAAAGATACTAGCTCACTGGGTCCTGCCAAAATGACTTTAGCACGCAGAATATACATAGTTATTTAACCACAATATGCAAATACATTCTGTAAAAATCCACAGAACCCATATCGGCCCCAAACATAACACAAGGCTGACTTAAACCTAAGACTCTAAACCTAAGAACCATTTGGACAGTGTGTTCTGACCACCTTTTCCCCTCTTTCTTTTTTAAAATTATTTTTTAATTGCTTTAAAAATATTATTTGTTTGGTACAGGGTCTTGCTAT